TTATAATATAATATTATAGATATATTATCTCGTAATATATATCGCTAAGATTTTATATCTATATTAAAAAAAGATATAATATTTAACTTTATTTATATTATATTCGAGTACGATATAATATTATTTAATATAAAATATTCTATAGAATATATTATTTCTTTTTAACTAGTATAAATATATCGACGTTATTCGCGAAGTATATAATTAATTCTTATATAAATATATAAATATATAAATATAATTTATATCTATAAACTATTTAAGTAAAAATATTATTAATAAAATATAAGAATTATTATAGCTATTTATATTTAAAACTATTATATTTATTACGAGTAAAGGTCTATAAATTAAATTTATAATTTTTTTTTTAATTAGAGCTATCGAGTAAGTAGATAAGCGATCTTTAATAAGCGAACTTTGATAAGCGATATTTAAATTCCTTACGCTTTAATAATTATAAGACTAAATTTTAGAATTCTTAAAAATTCGAAAAGTATAAATAGCGCTTTAAAATTTAAAAAAAAATCTTAAAATTTTAATAGAAAATAAAAAAGTAATTCTATGTGTTAATAATATATATCTATTTTTTTAATAAGAGAGGCGTAGAAGGGCGAGATTTTAATAGTTATAAACGCTAATTTATTTACTCGCGATAATTTAGTTAATTTAATTAAAAAGCGTAGTAAACTTAAATTAATAATTAGCTATATATATAAATTTAAGATTTTTAAGCTTAACTCTATCTTATTCTTTTATATAAATAAAAATCTATAAATTAAATTTATAATCATTTTTTTTAATTAGAGCTATCGAGTAAATTTAATAAGCGAACTTTTAATAGACGATATTTAAATTCGTTATCTTTAAATATCTATAAGACTAAATTTAGTAATTCTTTTTTTATCTAAAAGCTTACATTTCGTTCTATAATTTTAAAAAAAAGGATCTTAAAATTTTAATAAAGGTTAAAAAGGTTGTTTTAAAATTAAATAATATATATCTATTTTTTAATTAGGACTATTCGACTATCCGCGATCTTTAATAAGCGAACTTTAATAAGCGAACTTTAATAAGCGATATTTGAATTTCTTGCGCTTTAATAATTATAAGACTAAATTTTATAATTCTTAAAAATTCGAAAAGTATAAATAGCGCTTTAAAATTTAAAAAAAAATCTTAAAATTTTAATAGAAAATAAAAAAGTTATTCTATGTGTTAATAATATATATCTATTTTTTTAATACGAGATTTTAATAGTTACGGACGCTAATTTATTTACCCGCGGTGTTTAATTAAAAAGCGTAGATCTAATAAATTAATAATTAACTATATATATAAATTCAAGATTTTCTAATTTAGCTCTATCTTATTCTTTTATATATACTAATAAATAAAGATCTATAAATTAAATTTCATAACTTTTTTTTAATTAGAGCTATCGAGTAAATTTAATAAGTAATCTTTAATAAGCGATCTTTAATAAGCGATATTTGAATTCCTTACCTTTAAATATCTATAAGACTAAATTTGAAGATTCATTTTTATCTAAAAGCTTATATTACGTTCTATAATTTAAAAGAAAAATCTTAAAATTTTAATAGAAAACAAAAAAGTTATTCTAAAATCAAATAATGTGCATCTGTTTTTTGATCAGGGCTGTCGAGCGAACTTTGGTGAGCGATATTTGAATTCCTTGCGCTTTAATAATTATAAGACCAAATTTCAAAATTCTTAAAAATTCGGAAAGCGCAGACTGCGCTTCAAAATTTGAAATTTAAAATCTTGAAAAGTTAATAGAAAATAAAAAAAAATTTCTATATGTTAATAATATATATCTATTTTTTTAATAATTATAAACGCTTATTTATTTATTCGCGATATCTAATTAAAAAGCGTAGGACTTAATAAATTAATAATTAGCTACATATATAAATTCAAGGTTTTTAAGCTTAGCTCTATCTTATTCTATTATATATACTAATATATTAATAAATTTAAAAACTCTCGTAATTAAAAATATAGTTTATTATAATCTCTATTAATTTCTTAAAAGCGATAATAATATATCTTAATAAACTTTATAATATATTTATTTCTATTTAATATATATAATATTATCTAAATAGTAATTTATTAATTTATTAAAATTTAATACTAGATTATATATTTTAATTAAGAAATTATAATTAAAAAGATAATTAATATATTATAAAAAAATATCTTTTATTTATATAATCTATTTATTATAAATATATTTTTAATATATTACTTAGCCCTATAATCTAGTAACTTAACGAAGATATCTTCTATTATATTATATCTTCTTTTTATTTATATAATTCGATAGTCTTATTATTCTATTTATCTTATTTATATTAATATTATATTTATACTAGTTCTAATATTATAATAAGACTTCTTTATATTTCTTAACGAAGAGAAATATAATTCGAATATACTTTATTCGAATTAGCGAATAAATTTAAAGAAATACGCTAATAGAGACTTTAATAAGATATTAAGTTAAGTTATCGTATTTCTAAATAAATCTATTATACGAGTAACTCGATTTTATAGCGAATTAAACTCGCTAAAACTATAGACGAGAAATAAATAAGAAATAGAGACTATTTATACGACTAGCGAATTAATAATAGAAAGAAATTATTATAAACTCTATATTAATAGTAAGTCTACTATAATAATAATAAACGTACGATCTCTTTATTAAGTATATCGATAATATATTATAATAAGTCTACTATAATAATAATAAATATACGATCTCTTTATTAAGTATATCGATAATATTATAATAAGCCTATTATAATAGCGACGAAAATAAACTCGATAAAACGACTACGATTTAATCTCTTTATTAAGTATATTAATAATATATATAGTAAAGCCTACTATTAAATAACATTTAATATATTCGATTCTTTTCTTATCTTTCTATTAAAGAATAAACTTAATAATAAGAGTATAAAAGATATAGAATAAATCTATAGTAAAGCTTCTAGGCTAGGCTATTAATAGATATTAAAGAATAATATATATACGTTAAATTTTCTTTAAGTCTACGAAAGGATTATAATAAGAAGACTAGATAAGAAGAAGAATTTAAAGAATCTTATTAATACGTAGATAATATATAAATTATATCTTCGAAATCTTTAAAGAATAATATAAATATAGTATAGTTAAGACTAGTATACGACTCGATAATATCGCTATATCTCGATAAATCTTCTTTAATTAAAATCTACTCGTATTTCATTCAAAAATCTTTAAAATTTATAATTTATTACTTTAGTATATAATTAAATTAGAAAAAGAATTTATAATCTATTATTAAATTTATAATCTTTAAAATCTAATTCTTATAATTTATTACTTTAGAATAATATAATTTATACTTTTAAAATTAGAAAAAAGATAAAAAAGAATATAAGATATAATTATTAAACTTTTTTTTAAATTTTATAATTAAAGCTTAAATTAATAAAACTATATAGTAGTATATTAAGATATAATCGTTAGAGTTTATTACGCTATTATATACATTAATTATTATTACCTCGATTTTAAAAATTCTTAAAATTATCGATAACTATACTTTATATTCTCTTAGAAGTTTTTTTTTCGAGTTTTTTTATTATAATATTATAAAATAATAAATTATAAAGATTAAGTTTAAGAGATTATAAATTTTAATAGATTATAAATTCTAGTAAATACGAGTATAGAGATTATAAATATTTAAAGATATAAGATAAGTAATAAATATATATCTTCGATCTATTAGTTATAAGAACTATAGCTATTTAAGAGAAGAGAATAATATTATAAGCGTATTCTTAATATATTACTTAGCTCTATAGTCTAATAACTTAACGAAGATATCTTCTATTATATTATATCTTCTTTTCATCTATATAATTTAATAGTCTTATTATTCTATTTATCTTATCTATACTAGTATCGTATCTATACTAGTTCTAATACTATTAACGTTAATAATTCTAAATAGAGACTCTTTACTTATATTAATAATATAAAAAGTCTTTTAAATATAATTTAAGATTAAGATTAAATTATTAATAGTCTTTTATTTTAAAATTAATAAATAAGATAAATAAGTTAATTAGAATATAGAATTATTATAGCTAATTTAAAAAAAACTCTTTCTCTTATATTTTCTCTAGAGTTTAAAGAGTTTTAATAAATCTTTTTAATATCTATAATTTAAATATAATATAAATTTAAAAATAAATTCTCGAAGAGAGAAGATAATATTAATTAAGATTTTTAAAAGAAATTTAATTATCGAGTAAAGTCGTAGCGTAATTAAGACTCTTAGCGTACGTAGACTTAGTATAAAAGCTTAAGAAAACGATATCTCTATTTTTCTTCTTACTTCTATAAGAATTAGTCTTACTATAAGATCGATATATATTAATATATATATATCTACTACTAAATCTATATTACTATATAATTTTAAATCTACTTATATTTAATTATATAAGTTTATTTAATAGATTATTAAAAGAAAGAAGCTTAAATATCGTTTATTAAAGTTCGCTTATTAAAGTTCGCTCGATAGCTTTAATTAAAAAATAGATATATATTATTTAATTTTAAAATAACATTTTTATTTTCTATTAAAATTTTCTATTTTTTTTTTTTTTTTTTAAATTATAGAAAGTAATATAGACTTTTAAATAAAAAAAGAATTATTAAATTTAGTCTTATAAATATTTAAAAGTAAAGAATTAAAATATCGCTTATTAAAGTTCGCTTATTAAATTTACTCGATAGCTCTAATTAAAAAAAAATAGATTATGAATTTAATTTATAGGCCTAAACTCGTACTCTTACTAATAAAGTAAAGTAAGCTGGCAAGAGCTCGAGAAGGTGATGTTGGCAGTTATTCCAGTATTTTCATTATCAATCCACGTGGTAGGCAACTAGAATCATAACATCCCAGCACATCATTGCTTTGTCTTCTTCCTGCCCTTCGCCTTGAAATCTTTACTCCTCTTCGAAGGCTTGCCATGCTTTTTCCCGACTGTTTTCAGCGTTCCCTTTCCATGCCTGCTAGATGCCCGAAAACCCTCAAATATTATCGATTCAGGGGACTTAGCGACGCTACTGACACTCTTGGACGAAGATCTAGGCTGCCCTCCAGGAGCTCTAAGCTTAGCCGCACCTGCACGCCCAAGCAGCTTGTGAGCTCGGCCTGTCAATGACTGAAGTTGCGAGGGGATCTTTTGTCTATATTTGGTCGATTCCACATTTCGTAGGGACGGTCTCTCTTTGCGGTTAGCTGCGTTTTTCGTGTACTTTGCTCTGGTGACCCTCAGAATGCGTGGGAGCCTTGGTGGGAATTTCTTCTCGTGGTAAAGAAGTGCCTTCTCAACGGAATTTGCATCCTAGACCGAGACACATTAGTATCCAAGGCTTTTCCTCTCAAATACAAGCTCTCGTTACCTTGAATTGAACATATGCAAATCCTTTGCCCACTCGCGTCCTACATATCTCGGAGTCAGCAGGACCTAACCAGGGAAAGATTTGAGCCGTAAGACGGTCTCGTAGGGTGGAATGAGTATCTTGCTCGCGCAACATGTCTTGCGACCCAATTCACAGTATTGACTAGCAAGAGAGCGTACTCACGTCTTATCCCTGACAACCCTCACACTCTCTACAGTCCCGGCCTTTTCGAATTGCCTCCATAGGCCTTCCTCAACATCTGCTGGTTCTTTCGCTTTGCGTGGCCGTTTGTTGTTCTCCTCGTCCTCGGCAGCTCTGATGTTCGTCTCATCATCTACGAACCCAAGATTGCCAACGAAGACGCATCTTCCATGATCGATCTTTGCAGGATGAGCGACGGAGTCCACGCGTAGATGACGTTCAAGCACAATGCTACCATTCAACCTCGTGGCTGCTTCTCTGGCGGCCAGTTGTGTAGTGTAGACAACATAGGCGTTCGTGGATTTTGTGGTAGTATCCATGATCTCCTTTTTTACAAAGGCTGCTTTTTTCGGGATCCCACTAGCTGCGAAAGCAGTAGATCTGAAGCGTAGGGATTCAATACCATGTCCGCGGTTCCTTCCAGGTACCGAGGAGGTGAATGAGGTAAGATGGTCCATCAGTGTTTTCTTGGCTTTTTTTGATTTTATAGCCATAGTAGAGACATTGGCGAGGAAGACAGTCCGCGATGACTTTTCCAGATCCAAGTCTTCTCTTGACTTGATTAAACTTTCATGCTGCGGTAAATCCCCTACAGCAAATTCGTCCTCGCCGCCAGTCACAGTGTCGGGGTCTGAGGTAGACTCGCCGTCTTCATGGGGAGAGCCTATGTCTCCATTCGCGACTCCTCGGGTCTCTATTTTCTGACTTTCAATGTGGAAGGTTCGGGCTCGGTTCTGGTCCTCCTTGATCTGCTCCTCAGCCAATTGGCTCATATATCTACTCTCAAGGTCATCTTCTGCGTCCTTTCGCTTCCGCTTTCGGCTGGAGCCTTTTGCTGTACCGCTGCCGGGGATAAATGCCTTGGAATCTTCAATATTTGAGAAGCTTATAGGAACCTGTTCCATGAATGTCTCCATACAAAGGTCATTTCCCTTACTGTCTGCATCATTTAAGGGTTTGCTGGCTTTGGTAGTGCGAGTCATGGCAGATTGGCTCTCTGACTGAGGAGCTGGTCTGGCGGCAGTTTTCACAGCGCCCAGCTGGAACAACGTCAACAATTTAGGAACAAGTGGACTGCATCAGTACTCTACTTACTGACTGAGCAAATAGCGAAACCAGAGCAGGATCATAATTCTGATTCAGCCGATCGGTGCCAGATACCATGATTGTTTGTGTCTCGCTTGAACTGCCCTGTTTGCGTGATTGCGACTTTGCCTTAAGCAAATATAGCAATATGTTCTCCACCACCACATTGCGATTGGATTGATAGCGCTAGCTTCGGGAAATCTTTTATCCGATTATCGGCGATAGTACATCGACAGGGGTGTGATTCTAGCGCTGCTTTCTGCTTTCCCTGTGACTGAGAGATGTGCTCAGAGAACAATCGCTCTTTTTTGAGAGTCTTGTATGACGCTTTGCAAATTCCACTCGACCTTCAAGGAACACTCGCTGAGACGAAGAATCCTCCAGAACCAGAATACTGACCTCTCGCTTTGATTCCCTTCACTCTCCGCCAACAGATTCACATGCTCCCACCCTCACCAAAGCGCCCATTTACCTTCTCCGACTTGTATCATACCACACCGCTCACTTTCGAAGACTGGCAAGCGTACAGGACAGGAGACAGTAATATTTCCCTAAATACTGCTGTCTCGCGGGTCCCAAAATCAAGAACGCCCTCATCAGACGGGCGCCCCAGAGCCCTCAACTACTCCTCCAACATACGGTACCAGCCATGGCTACGGATACCGTAGTTTCTGTACCAACCATGGTCCCACAAACCATGTCAAGTGCTGATCTCGATAATGGCACTGGCGTTGGAGACGGCGAAAAATTGCAGGCCGAGGAAGACGATAGATCGAGTTCACTGAGCGAGCTCGGAGATCGTGCGGGTATAGAACATTCATCTCGTGCGGGTTCGGAGGCGAATGACACGGAAGCGGAGACAGAACGACTGGAAGACTCGCCTCAAAAGCAACGGAGACACCGGGACATGGTCCTCAGCTCTACCAATAGCGCCCACGGTGAGGACCGGGATCAATTAGTAGCTCGTGTTCTATCTGAAAAACTTGCCAGCCCTGGTCAGTCTTCTACAGAGCCTATTCCGCTAGAAATGGCTGACCGTGCGCCAGGCCCTAAATCTAAAGGGGAGAGACTTGAGCAGACTTCCGATATTAGCTCTCTTGAAGACTCTGGTGAAGAGAGCGGCAAAGATTTGTCACTTACACTGTCTACTCCGATGAAGCGAAAACGTTCAAGCTTCGAGCAAGATAGCGCAAGCGACCAGGACTCCATGCCCGAACCTTCTAAGAAAGCGATAAAGCTGTTTGATAACAATGCTGCAGAGGCTTCAGCAAAATCGGGTGCCGAGATTGCTGCAGATGTCCCAGCGGCGAATAGTGACCTGCAAGTCATTGCCCATTCGGCCATGTCTCCTAGCAACGAAGAGCAGCCAAGAAAGCCTCAAGCACTGCCGAAACAGAAGCATAAGAAGGGAAAGCGAAAAGGCAAGAGGACACTGAACGATGAACCCGCGAATGCGGAACATGCGGGTTCGGGCGCAGAGAGTACTGTCGAGCACGGTGGAAATGCCGAGGCTATGTACAGCAACGAAGAAGATGCGCCAATGGAGAACATGGCTGAGGGCGTTGAAGCTGGAAATTTACTCAAGATGGAAGAGCGTAAGCGCATTTTTGACGTTTTTCCGGGGAAAGGCTAATTCATGATTACACAGTCGTCGAGAAGAAATCTGCGATGGACTCTTTGAGCGCTATAGAGAGGTGTTTTGCAAAGCTCAGAGACAAGTGAGTGTCGCTACATTCTAACATGACGTTCTCGAATCCTAATTTGCCAAGAATATACGAAGAACGCATCGCTCAATGCAACCATGAGCTTGCTATGCTGGAACAGCCCGTGCCAATTCATCCCGAAATGTTGGCCATGAAAGAGGTCATTGACCAACGTCGCGACCAAAAGGTCGAGTACGAAAACAAGCTGATGAAGTTCAAATTGATGACGCTGCAAAGAGAGAGTATTGCAAACAAAGCTCAGGCTCATTCGCAGTATATGCAGACCGTCCGAGAAGTTCGAGATAGTTACTTGGAGTCGCTCAACAGGAAATACTATCAAGTACAACGCGAGAGGAGAAGCTGCGAAGGTGATGTGCCGGATTACATGTACACTTTTACGACCAAGAGATCGCAGCAAATTACACATCAAACGGCGTACAATACAGAGGTTTCGATACTCGCCGGTGTAGCGAAATATGTGGGCTTTCCAGCGGCACCAGAAATAAGCAGTGCTCGAGCGAAGGAGATCGACGATGATTTACGGAGCATGGGAGTAAGTCGTCGATCACTGAGAAGTTCTCGGGCAATAGTAGCGCTGACTGTTGATTTCTAGATTGCGTTCGGCGCTGCGCAGAACGCTCAGAGTCATCACGCGGCGCTGAGAGCTAACCTGTCTGCCACAGCCAGTTTCCCTCGGCAGAGGCCTGGAGCGGAGGAGCATTTCCTCGAACAAAACCCGTGGGCCAATCCGCAACACCCGGCTCATCACCAGCAACGGATGCATCGACAGATGTCCGCAACCCCGTCATTCACTCCAGCGGGACAAAGACGACTGGTTGACCTCACCGAACCTCGGGGGTCTGCATCCACCATAGCGGAGCCACAGTCTGGACCAAGTTCCTCCATGGCTCCGACCCCTGCCACAGGAGAAGCATCTAAACTCGTACAGTCCGGGCGAAATCCTGAGATGAGCGAGATCATTGTGGACTCTACACCAAGTAGAGTAGTAAATGGAAGTCTATTGGACTCAACTCCGGCAAACCTAGCGATGCAAGAGAGCTCGAGAGCCAAAGCGACTAAAAAAGACTTACCATCTCTACCCAAGAATATGTCGACAGACAGCCAAACACCAAGTGCCCTCCCTAAGCCTTTACCGTTTATGCACACCGGTGGATCAGCACCGGGCATTCGTACATCCACTCCTGTTCGGTATCCCGTTGTTAAAGCCGAGGACGCTACCGTTGGTTCGCGACACTCACCCATACCACATCAGTTCCATGGGGCAGCACCTGTCAGTACCGCGTCTAACGGACAAATGAACCGGTTCGCTGCTTGACGTACTTAGGACGGAGCAATGTGTGAGGAATGGATATGATGATCGGCGCGATATCAGCGACAAAGGAAGGTTGGACTACGTCATTAGCATGGAACTGGGCGCTTTTGGAGTTGGATCTCTGGACGATGTGATCTTCTTGCATTGGGATGATACCATTATGCATGCTGCATCTAGGACGGAGATTATTCATGGCTTTTCCCCGTTGCATAGGCTCAAAAACTAGCGTCCATACTGTATCAACATGACTAACTTTGATGGGCTTGATCCCACCAGTCTACGCCGATGTGCCTACGTGCGTTTGTTGGCTCGTGTCTTACCTACGATCGATCATTCCTATACATTTAAGACATCAATTTACCTTTTCCAAGGCTCTGTGACAGTAACGTGACTCAAAGGGCACATTTCCAGGGGTTTCGCCTGCAAAGGCATGCCGGAATCGACCGTTTATAGGGCACTCTTTTCCTTTCTCATGTTCGTTGTCTTCTTCCTTCACTTTCTCACTTTAGCCGTCAGCTACTTTCCTCAACTTTGCCCACTCCTCCTCCAATAAACCCTTTTCACACTTCCCTCTTCCCATGCCTGCCCCTTCTCCAAATGCCTTCACCTCCGCGGTGAATGGGCTATTACTACCGTGGCTATGGGGAGCCCCATCGGATATTTCGTGGAAAAGCCCCACCGCAACTATTTGCCAATTAATGCCAAACTTTTCCAATCCTTTGATGCTACCATCTCCCTCGCTCACGATCCCGGCAATCTGGGTTACAAGGCGCAGAAGGACCCACTTCCTGACTACACGTACTGGATGCCAGCTTGATCGATAGTGTAATGGATCTATCAAGAAATACGCTTTCAAGGCATAGCTAAGAGCGATGGCCCAGGATTGAGTAGCGATGGCATTAAGGAAGGCCGTATGAAGGATTGAGGGACTGGGTTGCCGGTGAGGAGGGTAGTGACCGAGGAAACCGAGCGCGCTTTTGAGCAAGGCGGCTGCTCGATCCTGTGGTAGTGTGGACGCTTCTGCTTGCAACCCTACGGCACGTGCTTGAACGGCATCAAAGTTGTGGTCTGGACGAGGGTCCGGCAGGCCGTTGGTAATACCTGCGCTACAGGGTGAGCAGCTGCAGTTGAAAAAGTAACGACTCCGAAGCTCAGATTGGCGGGCTGATGTGGGATTTGTAGTGTCAATATAGGAGATGGAGAGCTCAGATTTGGCTGAGATGGCAGCAAGGGAGCGCAGTGTGAGTGTCGAGCCCGAGAAAACGATGGCGGTATTAGGTGTACAACTGTGATTCAGGAGAGCCGAATGAGGTGAGAGGCACAGACCTAAAGGGTCGAGGTTTGGGGTTGTGAGAGTGTGGCTATTGATGAGGATGCGTGCCGTGAGCGTCTGGATGAATGAGATGGGTTCTTGGCTGCCTGAGTAAGATGAAGCGGCTTGACTCATGAGCTCGATGGCATGCCAGGTCGTGAGACCATCTTCATTCTTTATCTGAGAAGAGCGGATTTCATCAACATGAGACTGCAGATCGAGAAAGGCCTGCCATTCTCGATCAGGAAGGGATTTCGCGTTCAGTCGAAGTAAAAGCTGCATCACTATACGGACGGTATTTGGAAGGACATTCGGATAGAGCTTAGCAAAGATCTTGCATTCGTATTTGTGGTGTTTCTTCCATGATTGAGTCTGGCACTCCTGCAGGAGCTCGGCTTAGTGGGCGAGCAAGAGTGCATTGGACGAGTACTGAAGGCTTGAAATGCAAACATATGGTTTACAAATCAAATGCGTCTGCTCAATCTTCCCAGAACAGTGCACAGAAGTCCACACAGCCCGAGAGACTTCACATATGAGGTAATAGAGATAGGCAAGAAACTTGTGAAACGAAAATACACGATTGCTTCGAACAGTAGTTGATGCTTCGTTTCGCGGGATACTTTAGAGCAAGCCGAAACAGACCTACTTTACAGCAATATTTGGTGACCTTGCAAGCCTGACAGGCTTTCAGCCTCTTGCACTTTGGGTCTCGGTCATCGTCATTTTGTGGCAGCCACAGACTGCACTCGGAGCATGTGTCTTTGAGGTGGGGAGAGTCAAGCACAGAGACTAATGGCCTCTCAATACGGAGGATTTCCACTCCAGGTGGGATGGCTTCTGAGGCAAATAAGCCTGTACCTGCATCTGGGGTTATTTGGGTGTAGATGTGTTTGGGGAGAGTTGCCATGTCGTGGAGACCGAGGTGTATGTATTCTGGTCTAAAGCTGACTCGGAAGCGGTAATTCATGTCGCATGATGCTTCCATGGGAAATCCGAGTTTCAAGATTCGTTTCCATTATTGAATTGACTGTTTAATTGCTTTACGGGTCATCTGGGAATTTCGTGATCAAGCCTTGTTCCGTCAATCACACTCTGTTTCGAGAAGATCTTCGTCATATCATGCGCGAATTGTGCGCGAATTATGCCCAATTTCCACTTATGCCACGGAAGTCTATCTAGCATTGTTCCAGTCGTAAATGCCCGCCAGTTATGACAAAGAAGCCTCTGAGAACGCCACAAATATACCCTTTCGACATGCATGCCTTCCCGTATCAACGCTGGTTCAGGTATGCCCGTTTAACGCCAACTTGCCATTGACCTTCGGCCACACCACTGCCCTCTCAAGAGCCTGCAGTACATCTTTCTTCAAGTCCTCACCATCCTCTATACCACAGCTCACCCGTACCAGGTCGTCGAACACGCCGGCCGCCTCCCTTTGCTCCCTCGGTATTCCAGCATGCGTCATACTGGACGGCACTTCGCATAAGCTCTCGACACCCCCCAGGCTCTCCGCCAGCGTGAAGAGATTGCAGCTCTGGCAAAACCTCTCCGCGGCTCCAGGACCACCCTTGATACGGAAGGAGAGCATCCCACCACCGAGACCAGCGCGGTGTTGTTTTAGTGCGATAGCATAATGGGGATGTGACGGCAAACCAGGATAATTCACTAGCAGGGTAAGAGGGGAGGAGGCGAGGGTCGTCGCGATTGAATGGGCATTGCGGGATGCTTCGCGGGCGCGCAGATGCAGCGTTTTTAGGCCCCTGTGAGCAAGCCAACAATCGAAAGCGGAGGGGACAGCACCAATGGCGTTCTGGAGAAAAGTGAGCCGGTCTTTGATGTCCTCCGAATTGAAGGCTGCGGCGCCCATGAGGACGTCCTAGAAGATCAATGAGCCAAGAGTCTCGTTGCGATGGAGGGATCAAACATACCGAGTGACCATTGATGTATTTTGTGACTGAGTGTATAACAATGTCTGCGCCATGGTCTAGCGGGTTTTGTATGTAGGGGCTAAGGAATGTATTGTCCACGACGACCATGATACCGTGCTGGTGGGCTATAGTGGCAACAGCTCGTATGTCAACCAGACTCAGCGTAGGGTTGCTGGGCGATTCGATCCATATCAGCTTCGTCTCGTTTGGACGAATGAGCTCTGCCACGTCTATCTCTATGCTGGGAGAAAAGGTAACCTGAACGCCATGGGCCTTTGCGACTTTAGTGAAGTAGCGGTGCGTCCCGCCGTAGACATCTGATACCGAGACAACATGAGAGCCTTGAGCGAGAGACTGTAAGATTGTGGCTGTGGTTGCGGACCCAGATGAGAAAGCTAGGGCGAATTTGGCATGTTCAAGAGCTGCTACAGCTTGCTCAAAATTGTCCCTTAAAGCATGTCAGAACCGATGGAAAGCGCCTGAATGAGATATTCGTTACCGATTCGGATTCGAGCTTCTTGTGTACTCATACGGGCCAACAGGTTTGCCTACACCAGTCTGTGCAAAGGTAGTGGAAAGGGAGATCTGAATGAGCATTGCTACTTAGTAAAACTTTTAACTAGCAGGAAGCTGCCGAGGACCTTACGGATTCAATGACAGCGCCCGTTGTTGGGTCATGAGGACTGCCAGCATGAACTGCTAGAGTTCCAAAGTTGTGTGTAGGCGAAGGAGCTCTTGGGGGCGTATCAATTGACCCATTACCATCAGTATTTGAAGTCGACATTACCGCGGAGGAGGAGGGCGAGCGTCTGTTATAAAGCTCGCTGGTTCAAGGAAGGCGAAGTGTATGATGAGTAGAAGTTGAGCTACTGCAGACTCGGACCTCCTTTATCCAATCCTCATCGCTTGACTTAGGTATCATATTCATAAGCATCATGACTTGGCAAAGAATCTTGATCATAATAGTGCGCCTGGACAATTATTTCAAGGCGTATTTAAAATGATGCCGTAATCCAACGGCCGCTTAGAATATACCTTACCCTACTTGTAGTTGCCACACGAACAATCTCGCTTCCACAGGCAAGTTGTCCGAAAAGATTAGTCTCAGTACTCAGACTCTATTCGGAAGGGTTGGTAGTGGTGGGTCGGAAAAACCTTTTTTCCGGGCCGAAATTTCGTCATACCCTTCCCTTAGAGTCTGAGTAGTCTCAGCTTAGCCTCATCGGCCTTAAGGTGGATCTAAGTAGAAAATCCTATTAAGACTTATTTTTTTGGTATATTATTCGATATATAATATTTATATCCTACGTATATATAATTCTTAATAAAAATACGTAATTACGTAATATAGTCTTTTTTAAAATTCTTAAAAAAAGTCGAATAATATAGTTAAATAGGCTCTTATTAAATTAAAAGTTATAATATAATAATTAAAAAGTAAACTTTTAATTTTATTTTATTAAAAAATTTAGCTAATTTAATTATAGTAGTAATATTAATATTTAAAAATATTATATATCTTAATAAACGCGTAAATACTATATAGAAATTTCTTAAGATAATTATTATAATACTCGTCGAATTAATAATATAACGTATTAAGAAAAATATTATAATCTTATTAATTAATTTATTACTTCGATTAAACGTTATAATCTTCTTTTATTTTTTAAATAACTAGTTTATTATTTATAAGAGTTATTATAATAATATATATAAATAAGTAAGTAAGTATATAAGTAATTATATAGTTATCGAACTTACGAAGAGTAAAGCGAAGAGTAAAGCGAAGATAATTTTTTTTTTAAATATAAAGTTAGATATTAGTAACGACGATATCGATAAATAAGAATATCTTATACGACGTTAAAGTCTCTTATAAATATATAAAATATAGAAAGAGATATCTTTAAATATAGAAAGGTTTATATTATCGTTATAAACGATCTAATTAAATATCGCTTAGTTATCTCTCTACTTTTATACTTAAAAATTAAATATATAACTTTTTTTCTTTACTCTAGAATTAGTCTATTAAATATTTTAAAACTTCGTATTTATTAAAAGAAAGAATATTTTTATAAATTATAAAGAAGTTAATATATATAGTTTAAAAATATCTCGCTATCGTTATTAAAGAGAAAATCGTATATTTAAGCGTCTCTTATAGTTTTTTTATTCGCTTAAATCTATTTTAAATATATTAAGCGCGTTAAAATTATTTAAAATATATATTTTATACTCTCTTTAACTTCTAAGTAATATATTTTTAAGTTAATAGATATATATATAAAGAAAATAACTCTAATACTCGATTTTTATTAGATATTAATATAATTAAATTTATAATTTAATTATTATATTTAACTTATTATATAATCTTTTAATAATATTAAATATAATATATTATTATCTAGAATTTAATTATTAGAGAATAATTAATTAAAGATAAATACTATAATTATTAGCGAAGAATATATATTTAAATAAGTTTATATAATAATAACGAGCTATTTAATTATAATAAAAAGTTTATATATTTATTTAATAATCTCGAAAGATCTATTATTCTCTTAATTAATATTAAAAAACTATATAATAATAATTAGAAAATTAAAGAAAATCGCGACTTTTTATTAACGGGGTAATTATTATAATAAGTCTATATAAATTAACGATTAATATAGCGATTTAAGAATTTTCTACTTAGACTCTAAAGAAGAGATATATTGTAATAAGCTTACGATATAATTAATTCTTAAAGCGAGATACGAGTATAGAGCTAATTATAAATATCTTAACTAGTTATAAGTTTAAATTACTAAGACTAAGTCTAAGTAGAAAATTCTAGAATCGCTATATTAATCGTTATTTTATATAAAATTCTTATTAAAATTAATCGAAATAAAAAATAAATAGTTTCTTTTATATATAACTTTTTACTAAGAATTCTAATAAAAAAAAATCTTTAATAAAATAACTATTTAAATATTATAGAATTAGCTTTTTTTTCGATTTTTAATAAAATAGCTTAATTAATTATTTTTATAAAGGTCGATATTAAAAGTTCTAGACAGCGCTAAAATACTTAATACTCTTAATATTCTTAATACTTCTATATAGTTATATTTATTTAATAATAATACTTTATATAATTATATATATACTTATTAACTCGCTTAGCGAAGTTATATAATTATATATTATCTCTCTTATAATCTTTTCTATACTTATTATTATTTTTAAAATATATTATCTTTATAATATATCTCGATATTTACTTTATTTACTTTTAAATTCTCTTTTAAATAAGCTTATAATTTTAATAATATAGCTATTATCTTTTAACTTTATTATAAATTCTTAATAATTTTTTTTAAGTAATATAACGTTTTATTTATAGCTAATAAGACTTAATTATATTAAGATTTAAAGAGTTATCGTATTAAATTATTCTAATAATATTAAATAATATAAATATCGCTTCTTAATACTTTAATATATATACTAAAGCTTTATCTTTTATAATTATTATATTAAATCTTTCTTATTTATACTTCTAAGCGAACTTTAAAAGCTTTAGAATAAGAACTTATACTTAATAAGAAGAAGAAATATAAGAAATATAGAAATATATATCTTTTTCTAATAGCGATATTAATTAATTCCCCTCTTCTTTCTCTTAATAGTAACTTTTTTAATCTTAATAATAAAGTTTTATATAGGCTTCTTATTAGAAGAATTTCGAAGATCTATACGTCTTATATTAATCTTAAGTTTTTAAGTTTATTTAATATTAGATTTTAGAGTAATATTAATTTTAGCGAGATTCTCGATATACTTCTTCTTTTTAGTAATAATCTCGACTTTTTAGATATAGTAAGAACTCTTTTTATTATAAAAAAAATATTCCTAGAATATAAACTCTATAGTATTTATAAAACGACGTTGTATATTAGATTAACGCTATATACGTATTTTTCTCTATTGAGAATTTAAGATTATACTAGTCTTATTACTTTAAATTACTCTTTTCTAATCTTCTATAGTTTAATTCTTATATTATAAAGCGAATTAATAATATACTTTTATTATAACTTCTATAAGAGATAGTTTTTTAGTAATTTTATAGGCTTAGAAATTATTACGTCTAAGTACTCGTAATATTATTATAAATAAGATTTCTTATTTAATAGTAAGTATAAAAGAAGTCTTTTTATAACTATAGCGGTTTTTTTATATAATATCTAGAATTATACTCTTAAGTATAGATATAATAATTAAGAAATATTCGAATTTAGACTTATCTATAATATATAATATTAAGAGCTTTTTAGATATAATAGGATTATATCCTCTATAAGTAAAGGCCTATAAATTAAATTTATAAAGTTAAATTTTTTATTTTTCTAAGTTAAATAAAGTTAAATTTTTCTAAGTTAAATAGAATTTTAGCTTTAGCTCTAAGTTAAATTAAACTCTAATTACTTACTATACGTTTTTAATCTACTTCTATTATTATAAAATTAATTTAATCTATATAATATATAAATATATATATACGAAAGAGAGGCGCATTAAGATTTAATTAGAAAGATATATTAAGTATAAAAGATTAATTTATAATAATTATTTATAAAAAATAGAGAAAGATTATATTTTTATAATAAGAAGTATTAAAATATTAAAAAGAAATAAAGATAACATATTAATTAGTAATATAAATCTTATAATATCTTCTATTATAATAAAATTTTTCGAATAATAAAATAGCTATAAATATCGAATAATTTTAATTCGTTTAAATATATATTAAAGACTATATAACGTAGAATCTTAGAGAGCTAAGTCGTATTCTTAATACTAAAAATCTTATTATCGCTTAGTTTCTCCGTAGTATTCTTTATATTTATCTATTATAATTTCTTCTTTTACTTCTTTTTTTTTATAAAATATTAAACTAAGTAGCTAGCTAAATAATTAATTAAATAAATAACTAATATAATATAAAATCTTAAATAGCTAAGCTATATTTTTAATAATAATAATCTTATTACCGCTTAATTTCTTTATAGTATTCTTTATATTTATCTATTATAATTTCTTCTATTACTTCTTAATATAATAAGAATAATAAACTAAGTTATAATAGTATTCTTCGCTTATTAAATAATAATTTAATATAAAATTATAAAGAGTATATAATATAAGATTTTAGAGAGCTAAGTCGTATTCTTAATATTAAGAGTCTTATTATTACTTAATTTCTTTTTTTTTATAATATTCTTTATAGTATTCTTTATAATATTCTTTATATTTATTTATTATAATTTCTTCTCTTACTTCTTAATATAGTAGAAATAATAAATTAAATTATAATAATATTCTTCGCTTACTAAGTAATAATTTAATATAGAATTATAAAGAGTATATAATATAAGATTTTAAAGAGCTAAGTCGTATTCTTAATACTAAGAATCTTATTATTACTTAATTTCTCTATAGTATTCTTTATATTCGTCTATTATAGATTCTTCTCTTATTTAATTAAATATAAGAATATTAAGAATAAATATATTTATATTAATAAAATTAGTAGAATTAATAGAATAGTAAAAGAAGAATAATTATATAAATAGATAGAAGAATTATTATTCGATTTTAAACGCGTTTAATATAATTATTATATTTTTAAAAGCTTTTTTTTAATAATATTTAAAATTTAATACGTATTAAGAGATTTTAAAATAGAGTAATAAAGAATAAATAGAGAAGAAAGACGCG